TTTGATGAAGAAAGAGCGGAAATCCCAGAAGACTACCTAACAATCAGCCCACGTCAAATACTTCTTTTATATTATGATCCCTCTGGAAACCAGGACAAGTCAGTCTTCATTCCGGGTGAAGATGGATAATCGTCTTGTCTCTCTGAAAACGTTTATAGTTATTAAAGGTTATGCAATAATTCAACTTCTTTTTAGGGTAAGCGATTAAACTGCCTTTTAAAATAAACAGATACAGGGCGCCTGGGTGGCTCAGTTGGTTGGGCGACTGCCTTCGGCTCAGGTCATGATCCCAGAGTCCCGGGATCGAGTCCCACATCGGGCTTCCTGCTCAGCGGGGAGCCTGCTTCTCCCTCTGACCTTCTCCCCTCTCATGCTGTTTCTCTCTCTCTCTCTCTCTCTCTCAAATAAATAAATAAAATCTTTAAAAAAATAAAATAAAATAAAATAAAATAAAATAAACAGATACAAACATCTACCTCATACTGTAACACAAAAATTAATTGGAGGTGGATCACAGATGTAAATATAAAAGCTAAAGCCATAAAGCTTTAGAAGAATATATGAGTATCTTCACAATCTGGGGGTGGGCAAAGATTACTTAGAATACAGAAAGTACTAACCAGAAAAGAAAAAACTGACAAATTGAACTTAAAATTAACAACTGATCATCGGGGCACCTGGGTGGCTCGGTTGGTTAAGGGACTGCCTTTGGCTCAGGTCATGATCTCGGGGTCCTGGGATTGAGCCCCGAGCTGGGCTCCCTGCTTAGCGGAGAGCCTGCAACTCCCTCTCCCGCTGCCACCCCCCACCCACCGCCCCAGCTCTTGTGCACGTGCGTGCTCTCTATCTCAATCTGTCTCAAAAACAGCAACAAACTTCTTTTCATCAAAATATATGATTAAGAAAATGGGTAGAAAGCCACAGGCTGGGAGAAAACATTCACAAAATGGATCTTTAACAAACGACCAGGATCCAAAGTATATAAAGAGATCTTACAAATCATTAAGAAAAAAAAAGATAAAAACCAATTTTAAAATAAGCAATAAATAGCACTTCACAAAGGAAGATATGTGACTGGCAAATAAGCAAAGATAAACTGTTCCACATCATTAGTCATAAGGGAAACGTAAACTAAGGCTACCACGAGCTACAACTATATACCTACCAAAATGACTAAAATTAAAATGACTGACCACACCAAATGTTGACAAGGATGTGGTACAACTGGAACCTCATACGTTGCTAGCTGGAGTATAAAATGGCAGACCAACTTTGGAAAATTGCTTGGCAGTTTCTTATGAAGTTAAACGTACTTATATCCAATAACCAGCAATTCCACTGCTAGGTATTCACTCTAGAGAAATTAAAACATACGTCCACAAAAAGTCTTGTGCAAGAGGGGTGCGTGGGTGGATCAGTCGGTTAAGCTACCTTCAGCTCAGGTCGTGATCTCTGGGTCCTGGGATCAATGGACGCTGCATGGGGCTTCCTGCTCAGCAGGTAGTCTGCTTCTCTCTCTCTCTCCCTCTGCCCCTCCCCACTGCTCATTCTCCCTCAAATAAATAAATAAAATCTTTATTAAAAAAAAAAGTCTTGGGGCGCCTGGGTGGCTCAGTTGGTTAAGCGACTGCCTTCGGCTCAGGTCATGATCCTGGAGTCCCGGGATCGAGTCCCACATCGGGCTCCCTGCTCAGCAGGGAGTCTGCTTCTCCCTCTGACCCTCTTCCCTCTCGTGCTCTCTCTCTCTCATTCTCTCTCTCTCAAATAAATAAATAAAATCTTAAAAAAAAAAAAAGTCTTGTGCAAGAATGTTCAGAGCAAGCTTTAACCATAATAGCCGCAAACTGGAAACAACCCAAATGTCCATCATCTGACAAATGGATAAATTGTGATTTATTCATACAATAAAATAATACTCAGCAATATAAAGCATCAAGCTATTGATGTACTCCAATTAACATGAATGAATTTAAAAGACGTTAATGCTAAGTGAAAGAAACCAGACACGAAAAAATACATACAGCATAATCCCATTTCTAGGAATAGGTAAAACTCCTTCAGGGTGGAGGTGAAGGGGTGGCAGGGATTGACTGGGAAGAGACACAAGGGAACTTTCTGGAGTTTTGGAAATGTTTTCTAGGTGTGTGGGTTACACAAAGTGCATGCATTTGTCAACTCAATGAACTGTAGGCTTCTGTGGATGTCACCATATGTAAATTATGCCTCATTAAAAGGAAAAATAAACAAAAAATGATCTCTAATATAAATACCTAAAATCAATATGCTTTATTACTAGACTGAAGGAAACCTTTGTTATTCTAAGGCAAAAACAAAACACACCCGCAACTTTTAAAAGGTAAAAACAAGTGGAAACCAGCCGACTAAAACATCACACGGACCACAAACCAACCGTGGGACTGTATGCAAATCACTTAAGCAGTCTGGGCCTCTATTTTCTCATCTATAAAACAGGGATTAGAAAATCCACCTCACGAGACGAACCATTAGAGACGATGGAACTCTGAAAAACAAACTGAGGGTTCTAGAGGGGAGGGGGGTGGGGGGATGGGTTAGCCTGGTGATGGGTATTAAAGAGGGCACATTCTGCGTGGAGCACTGGGTGTTATGCACAAACAATGAATCATGGAACACTACATCAAAAACTAATGATGTAATGTATGGTGATTAACATAACAATAAAAATGAAAGAAAAAAAAAAGAAAATCCACCTCACCAGGAATATGTAAAAAGTAATCATATGCAAAGCAGCTGGTATAGTACCTGGCACGCAGGGCCTTAGTAAATGGTAGTGGGGTAGGAAACAGCAATTACAAAATGCATATAAAAGATCCCCTTTACCCCTCTGGTATAATAGGCAATTATTTATTAATTTAAAGATGGGTTTTATTTTACTATCTTCCCACAGCCCTATCCTTTTTTCATGAAAACTCTCCGTCGGATAACTGACCCTATGCCACCCAGACGGCTGGTAGGGGGAGAGGGAGAGGTGCCTTGCTCTTCAGTGACCCTGCTCCCTCATCTCAAAAATGTTCATGTGAAACGAAGTTTTGAGTAATCAAATTAGATGTAAAGGTATGAGTGAAACTCACAAGTCTAAATTGTTTTATGAAATGCAAAAGACTTCTTATAAAGGGTATCAGTACTAGAGCCAGGTTTCCCATTTATTAGGTTTACCTAAGGTAGCATCCTTCCACCTGCTAGAAAGCTTTCTAATTATCTTTCAAAAGGCCATGCTGTTTCCAAATGCTACAACACGCAAAGCAATAACTACTTTCCACAAAAACCATGTTCAAACAGTAGACAAAGCTTGCAGAGTACTCTCCTTTTATCACACCAATGCTGTCTGCTTGGATTACAGCCAACAACAGGGCTCAAGTAGATTTATCTTTCCTGTAGATCGTGTAAGTACATTTGCCTAATGCAGTGCCCTAGATTTTACAAATTACATTTGCTGGTGTACTTGCAAGTCTGCAGTTTTGAACATTTTCAAGGAGGACACAAAGACATTTACATACAACAGTCGGTCTTGACCATCAATAAAAGGCCTACTTTGAGGCCACCTACTATCCTTTTGCTGTAATTTAAAATTTCTGCAAAGCATTTCTTGGCTTTTAGCAGAGTCCGTGTTGAGCCAAGATGCTGATGTTCTGTCTGCATTCAGACTGCAACAAAAAGAATCCACACATACCAAAGATCTGTTTGAAAGCTCTTAAGGCCAAAAAATGTCTATTGTGTGGCCCGTGATAGGCACCAACTAAAGGAAACTTTGAAACTATAAATAGCGCAGAGAACACCATAGGCCTGGGGGAAAATGTTTTGCTTAAATTGGCACAACGACACAATTCGACATGACGTCCATATTATATCGAAAAAGTGAATGTGAACAAACAAAAAAACTCTGATGAATAAGAATTTATTCTCACTAAAAAGTTCAATATGCCATTTTAGTACCATTATTTCCTTAGGACGCAGTGGTATTCACTGCACAGTGGCTCGGGTCTAACTCTCCATCATGATGTCACAAAAACCGAAATGCAACGGAATCCGACTCAGTGTTGGTGCATGCAGTCCAGGGGTGCCAACAATCAACCTGGAGCAGGCACGGGGCCAGAAAGACTCCATCAGGTTTCCTCACTGCCCCTGATAATCACTGCTCCCCATACAAACAAGTCCTTAAAAGCTCCAACCTAAAAAAAGAAAAAAATCAGATTTGCTGGCGGTGTCTGCTAAGAAAGGTACAGGGGTCACCTGTCAATGAGCAGGAAAATAAGTGGGTGTAAAAATGGCCTCCCCGGGCGGACTGAAACGCAGTAAATCACAAATCCCTTTCTAGAGTAACGGCTTTACACTAGACCTGTGGAGGGACTCAGGCACCGAGCGTGCCCAAGAACGCCCCAACCGTTTCTCCTCGGGACGCGAACGCGCGCCGGGGACCCGACAGCAAAGGCGAGACCAGATGCGGGCAGGGAGAATGGGCATGCCCGGGCTGCAAGCCCGACCGCGGGAGGGGGGGGGGGCGGAAGAGGGCAGAATGCTCTCCGTTACCCCCACGACCCTGTCGCGGCCCGTCAAAACACAAAGCCCAACGGGTGGGGAAAAGAAAGAAAGGAATGGAAAACACGTGGTCCGCAGATCCGATGGGGGCTGCCGGGCCGCCAGGTGCACTTCTCCCGGAAGCGGCGGACGCGGCGGCGGCCGCAGCCTACACCGCCCCCAACTCCGGGCCCGGGCCGGACCCCCGCCACAGGTTGGCCGAGCCGGCGATTGCGGACAGGCTCGCGCAGAGAATTAAGTTTCTAATAATACAACTTTAGGCGGATTAGCGCCGGCGTCGCCCAACACCGAGGCCGCACTTGGGGGGGGGTTGCAGGGCGCAGCGGGCGCGCGGGCCGGGGTCCCGGGGGGGAGCGGGAGGGGGGGCTCGCGGCGCGGGCGCCTCCTCGCCGGCAGGTGCGCCCCCCGCGCGTCGCCGCGCTCACCAGGTACCAGACGCCGAGCAGGATGGTGCCGGTGCGGACATGGCAGCACAGGCAGCAGCTGTTGGAGTAGAACCGCGTCCAGGGCGCGACCATCTTCATCGCTCGGGCGGCGGGCGCCGTGGCGCGCCCAAGTTTGCAGGACCGTCGGCCGCGTCGCTCGGGGCTCCCTGCGCGGCTGCTGCCGGCTCCCCCGCCGCTCCCGCTACCGCTGCGGTTCCGCTCGCCCGTTCGCCCGCTCGCCAGTGGCCCGCGCTCCGCGCCTCAGCCGAGAGCTCCGAGCGGCTGCAGCGGCCGGACTCTGCGCTCCGAAGGCGTCGGGAGGAGGAGGAGCGGGGGGCGGGGGGGGGGCGCGCGGGGGCGGGCCACGTGACCCGCGCCGGGGCCAGTGATGTCACCGCGGGGTCCAGCCAGCTGCGGGCGCCGCCGGCCGGGATAGATAAAATCAATCATCCTGCACGCCCCCTCCCTTCGCACCCCCCCCGCCCCCGGGCGGGTCCGGGAGCTGACCCGCGGTGGAGTTCCGGGCCTCCCCTCTCGCCTGTGGTCATTTGTGTAACTCTGTCACGGGTTTGAGATTCTTTTATAGTCTCGTTGGTTGTGGTTTCTCTCCTTCCACTTCTATTTTGCAGATAATCTGTAGATGCAAATGCTATCACTGTTATCCTTCGAACCGCTGCTGGAGCCAGAGCAATTTGTCTCCGTTTCCCGGCTCAATTACTGTGGTAGTAACCTTTTTCCCAGAAAATAGGATGTGTGTCAAGGACATACGCGCTGTGCTTCGGGTAGCATTTTTAATCATGACGGCAGCTCTAAAGAAACAATCATCAAGCCAATTACTGCCACAAGGTCTCTGAAGGACACAACACAGAGCATAAGGGGTACTGAAAGATAGGACTCCAATCAGGGGTTATTTCCTCCCGTTTATTGTTTGGTCTCAAAGCGCCCTTGTCCTGGGTTAGCCTCTAATCACCGCTTAAGCTAAGCATCTCAGCTGAGTTAGATTATTAGTGCATGTCAAAGTTTCATTTCGGACTTGGAGCAAGAGAAAAACAGGTCGGATTTAAATTTCTTAAGGACAGGTTATATAGGAGGGAAGGAAAATATTCGTTGAGGTGGTTTAAGTGTGGGACTAGTTAGTTTGCCGAGGTGGTAAAGCTGGCGCTTTCTTAGTGCGTGCCTTAAACCCGGATCCAAAGGGACTGGAGCGTCTTCCCCAGAGACCGTCAGATGTGGGCCCTTAACTGGAACTAGTAAGTAACATCATTGTGGGAGATAATCAGAAAGAAGGAAGAAGGAAGATCAACTTTTGTTTTGTTTTCTCACTACAAATTTCTGTTTTCTCTCACACGTGAGATAATTTTCTCTCTGGCATCTTCCATTTAATGTTCAGTTATACCCATAGCTACTTTTAAACAGCCAATGGGACAAGCATGAGTGCTCTGAGCCGGGATGGAAATAGAGAATCAGGGTGGGGAGTGCTACTTTCCAAATTCAAACTGCCCACATGTTCCTCTAACGACCTCCTGCTTTGCCCTCCCCACCAGGATTTCAGATTCATTAGGCACATGATTCATTTGATTAAAGGGAATTTTATATTTCAGAGAGCTTACTATTCAGGATTTGAATTTACAGACACTTGCCAAATGGCTCTAGATAAGAAGAGAGATGGAGAGTAGAAAAAATCTGGCTGGAGAAAGGAGATAAGGAGAGAAACGGTACATCTGCAAGTGAAGTTTATGAAATAAAACTTAATGTCAGTATCTCTAGAGTTATATTTATTTGGATGCAAGAGGATTGGGGAGGATTGGCAAAAACAAACAAATCCAGAAAAACAAAAACCCCAGAGGCTTCCCCAGGAAGTTACTCACAGCCGGGTGACACGGGTGACTCTACTCGTTCTCAAACAGCGGCATATTTACTGGAGTACTGATCGCAGTGGGACAGGTCTTTAGACAGATCACTTTGTTCTCATCCCTGAGCCCCTCAGCTTCTGGGGCCACAGATGCTCTTTCTCTACTAGAGCAAAAACAAGAGCCTCCATACTCTTGGTCAGGTTGCCCTACAAGTCACTCACCCCTCCTCTCCCATTCTCTCTCTCCATGGTGCCTTCATTACGGAGGAGATGGGGACACTGTAGGGACTCCATTTTAGAAAGGCCCCATTTACTCATGCTCCATAGTTCACCTTGCATCTGAGTAAACCAGAAAAGCTACGTTCGTCATTCTCTGCTTTTCATCCTAGGCCCCCAAACACCTGATAACGTCTAAAAAGAACCATATCCCAAACATGTTCCAGGACATTCGCCTCAAACAAACCTCCGTGGACACTGGCATCAATACCCCACCTTCAGTAATTTATGGAATAACATCTATCATTTACCTGACACTCGCCTCAGGTAGGACTCAACCCTGGATTCCTAAAGGAACATGTACCCTGGACCCCTTTCCAATATAAACCCCTAATTCCAAGCAACCAGGAGGCTCACCTCTCCTTTTCTGAGTCTCGCAGACACTCCGTCTGCTATACTGTATCACTTACACTATTCAGTAAACTCTGCTTTCACTGCCTTCTGGCTCACACAGTTGATTTCCATCTTTGGCAAAGTCAAGGACCCTCTGGTCCTCGGACAGGGCCTGCCTATGTCCTTACCACATTTTTTTTTTTTTTTAAAGATTTTATTTATTTATTGGACAGCGAGAGAGGGAACAGAAGCAGCGGGAGAAGGAGAGGGAGAAGCAGGCTTCCCGCTGAGCAGGGAGCCCGATGTGGGGCTCGATGTGGGGCTCGATGTGGGGCTCGATGTGGGGCTCGATGTGGGGCTCGATGTGGGGCTCGATCCCAGGACCCTGGGATCATGGCCTGAGCCGAAGGCAGACGCTTAACGACTGAGCCACCCAGGCGCCCCTGTCCTTACCACGTTTTAAAGCCTTTTTACCATTGGGACTTCAGGCCTTGCAACCTCTTTGTCACCCGGGGCCCTTCTCTTGCCTTCTTGTGTACCCCCCATTTTTCTCTCCCTGAATCCTCCCCTGGCCCCCGTCTTCCAAGTGCACGTATTTTCCAATGAATTGAAGGAAATTTTTCTTTCCATCAGATAAAGCCACTCTCATTCCTTTTCCAAATCCCTTCTTTTCTAGGACTAATTGTATTTCAATCTGTCTGTTAGTGATCCAATATACCCAGGGTCAGCTTGAGTGGTGCCCGGGTGTAGGAAACAAAGACAGACATGCTGCAAAGATGAAAACATTCTGCCCCCCGCTCCCAAAGCTGATGGTGTCGTCCAGTGAGCCAGTCACTATGGCGCTAGTCAGAATGTGTGCCGAGTATCCCTACAGGTAAAAACAAAATGCAAAGGGAAAGCAGGGAGGGGTCAATTACATTACAACTACGGGAAGTTAGCATTTCAGTTGGGCCTTGAAAGAGTGAATAGAACATAGACCAGGAACATAGAGGGGAAGGAAGAAACACTTGCTCCAGGATTTGCATCAGGCCAGACACTCTTGTGAGGTAGGGAAGGTCTCACTGGACCTACCTCTATGCCCTGGGTAAGGGTCTGTCCTGTGAGATACCTCAGGAACCCCCTTCAGAAGCTGAGAAAATTAAAGAGCTACTACTGTCTAGCTATCCTGGAAAGGAAAAAGGGAGGCAATGCCTTCTGTGGATGTGTTCGAAAAGGACCCCACTGTCTATGGCAGAGGGTGCTGTTGAATGTCTTCTTCAATGATGGAAGTACTTCTCTGCCCTTGATGGGAAAGAAAACCCTATAGGTCTTCGCACGCACTCTCCAAGGAAACCAGGGATCTGTTCATTCGTGCAGTCATGAATTTGGTGAATGAAAGGTTTCCGGGTACCTCCTTGGAGCTGAGTGAGCATGGCTGTCAGCTCAGAGAACATGAGATAGTTTCTGTCTATAGGGATCTCACAACTTCAAGAGGGAAATAGAGAAATAAACAGAAAGTCACATAATAGCAAGAAAAATGCTACCATACGTTTAGCACAAGGTGCTGTGAGAGCCCCACATCTCAGTTTGGGGAAGACCAGGGAAGTGACATCTAGGCTCATGTGTGTGGGGTAAGTTGGACTTGGCTAGGGAGAGAGACGGAGGACCCCCTCAGACAGGGTGGGAGCAGGACATGCAAGGGCCCAGCATCTGGCAAGCTCACAAGTTTAGAAACAGCAGGTGGTATGATAGCTGGGAGTTAACATTTGAAGGGAAGGGGGGCAGAGTAGAGAAGATGGGGCTATGGAGGTTTTAGGGGTGTCAGTATAGGCAGGGGAGGTAACAGAAGATGAAAAGCTTTTCATGCCATGTTGCACGGAGAGGTTTGGAGCAAATCTCCTAAGGAAATGGGGAGCTTCTGAACTAAATATTGAACCCATATTAAATCCATGCGCCTCCATGATCAATTAATGTCACAGGCTTAAGGCACATACAAATGAGATAGGCAGGACTGGCTATATTATTTGCGGGGTCCTAAGCAACAGTGAGAATGGGGGTAGGGTTCTCATTTCAAAGTATTAAGCCTTCCAAGATGGCGACATTAAACCACGTTTGGGCTGTTCTAAGCAGGGGACCCCGTGCTACTGCCAGGGTCACATGCCCATGAAGCTGGCCCTGGAGATAGGTCCCATGTCTCTCTTAGAGATTAAAAAGAAAACCCAACAACAACAAGAAAGGGAAAAGCTGTCAGATAACAAAGAACTGTTTCATGGAAGCTGTGATAAATGTCAATTTTATAGGAATGTGTGGAAGAAAATAAGTAGTATGTCAGATGATTCATCGAAGAATCTGGACCTTGTCCCAGCCGAGGCGGGGCGGCGGGGGGGCGTGAGGGGGTGCAGGACTGTGAAGGTCAGAACATGGAGCTGGCTCCAGGCCTGAATTGCATCCAAGGTGGAAGTCAAAAATTATGACTGATGTGCTCTCAGAGATGCACGTAATTAATCATATATTTATTAAAGCACACATTTGGGGTTTGGTCAGGTTCTGGACGGGGGTTGTGAGAAGGAATGCATAAGACAGAATCCCCGCCACTAAGAAACTCACGAAATAGAGGGACAAAGATGGGCAGAGGGATTCATTCGTGGGAGATAGTGTGGCTAACAATAAAGCAACAGTGGTCTGATCCATGGTGATATTAATATGATACTCCAGTTTTTTATCGGTGTATAAAGATCTGGTTATGCAATCAAATACATCTGTATCAGTTAGAGTCCAGGCAGGAAAACAGGGAACTTTCTAGAAATTCCACACAGAGAGAAGGTAATATAGGAAATTGGTTGCTGCCATAAAGTAGTTTGCAAG